GAGAATAAAATTGATTTTAGTGACCTTACCATTCAAAATAGAAATATAGTTTTTTGTTTTTATCGGCGTATTAGTAAAATCGAAGTTAGAGAAGTTTAATAAAAATGAAGCGTTGAAAACTTGTTGGATTTGATGATATTCCAATTGAAACTGCTGTCCAAAATTTCTCCAAGCTTCAATTTGCTGTCCACTCATGTATGACTGATCCAAAACTTGATCATAGTTTTGTTTACAACAATCAAGAGCAAACTGACATCCTCAAGTCTCCATTCTTCGACGTCAATTTGGAGGTCAACCGTACTGTTGAAGACTAAGTCGAAAGGATTATCTTCTCTCTTGCCGTTGCTATCGACGAACAACTCTCTCCCGCTCAGTGGCACATTGTTTCCAAATCCTGATAAGGGTAAATTTCTCATCTAAGCCTTTGTTTTTTTAAGTCTTCCATAAAGGTTGTGCAACTAAGCTTGATTGGAATTGATTATTCATGATTCTAACTCTTACATGTAGTTTGGTGTAAGCTTCAATCTCATCTTTATTATTTTAATATTTGTTTACTCGCTAAAAGTAAACGTAATTATTGTTACTTTAACTACAAGGCGTGTTTACATAATTACCTACGCATTTATTTCTACATCATAGATCCAACTTAGAGTTTCTCCACAATCTAGATTGCATTTTGCCTAGTTTGATTTTTGCCCCTCTTTAACCCATCAAAATTTATTGGAACTTCATAAAAGTCTCTAGAATTTAATTGAAGCCTTCGGGTGACTACTTCGCTTCCTCCACACAGAGCTCCCGTCGCTGCTCTCGATCTCAAGAAACTCCGTCTCTCCTCTCAACTCCGACCGCAAGACCCGCGCCACACTCCTCTTCACTCAGCCACACTCCTCTTCACTCAACAAACTCCACTCAGACCACCTTCCTCTTTCCCATAGCCGACTCCTTGCTCTAGGCCGAACCGAACTCCTCTGCCATCACTTGAAAGCCCTAACCTCTTCAAGCCTTTCAACCGAACCTTGGCCGATGCCTTCGCACCTTCGACGAAGTTCCCTTCCCGTCAGATCGGAAGCTACAACATTTTTGATCGGAGGTGATGATGGGAGTTCGTTGGTTGTGAAAGTAATTTCCTCCCTCACGCGTGCTTCTCCGGCTCTTCGTGGCTATTCGCTTCGCTCTTTGGACGAGTTTCCCTTCTGGTTTGATCAGAACAAACGAAGGGAGCTCGCTTGTTATAAAGGTAGCTTTCTCCCTAGCATGTGCTTCTTCGGCCAAATCCAGTAAACCTGCCGAATTATAGAGAGAGGGGAGAGAGAGGTTTTAATTAATTTTAATTATAACTATTTTAATTAATTATTGCTATTATAATTAATTATAGTTAATTTTAATTTAATTAATTATAATTAATTCAATAAATTATAATTAATATTAATTAAAGTTAATCACCTAAGGTCCATTCCGGCGTTTGCGACACATCGAAAAATCTCCTATACACGCCTTTATTGCGCTTTGTAGGATGGGAATCCGGTTCGATGCCTACGGTGAGACGGGGTTACTTATAAGTACCATAAAGCAGGGGGAAAGCCAACTGTCTTTTAAAACAGGTACATTCAAAGACCCCATATACGCATTTTTTGCACGTGTGGGAATAAGGAACACGGCCGTGGTGTCTAAGGACACCTACCATACATGCCTTTATTGCGCGTGGTGGGAAGTCCCAAACTCCTGTAGTTTTCCCCTAAATGGGAGAGACGTCGGGAGGCTGCCAAAATTTTGTCTAAAATACGACAAGGACTTGAACACTCATAAGGCACTTGGACAAAGATTTTGGAACTTAACTTGAGCATAATTTGAGACAACATCAAGCTTAAATCAAAACTTAATCAAATGATATTGAATGGAAGCGTTACTTGGACTCAAACTAGATTTAAGCATTAAACAAACTTAAACCTCACTTAACTTACATAAGTCATAACTTAAATGATTTGAACCTAATCAAAGATTTTCAAATTAACTACAGGGTACTTAAATGAATGTTGTAGATTCATATTGGACTCAAACTAAATGAGACCTCAGTGGACATGACTTGAACAACCTGTGCTCAAGCGAAAAAGGTTGAAATTTTAGCTTGAACTATGATAATGTGAATTCAATTTGAATTTGAAGATAATTAAGATAAAGGAGCGAGGAAGAGAATTGATGTGAATGACAACATAAAATTTTAAATGTTAAGAAGATTATCTTTTTAATTGGAATGCAAAATCATGGATTGTTACACTCAAGCCTCATGCAAATAAGCCAAGACTCATATGCAAATTCATTACAAGTATGAATATGAAATTTATGTGACTAATAGCGATCTACACGTAGCAATCATTCCAATCAGAGGAAAGAGACCGATGGGTTTGATATTAAGTTCATTGCAAAGAACTCGCAAATGTAAGTTGGTTACAAGTGACGAGAAAAGTATAAAGAATACGGTTCTATACTAATTCATGGTACAAGAAGGGGGCCATAAGATCTTAATGGGTCATTTACAACTCTAGACACAATGTATCATCAAGCAACGATATATAAAACTCATAAAGAGTGTGGAAACTTGCCTACGAGCTATAATGCAAGATCTTTGATGGTGTTGTAACTGATGCATGAAAGTCATGACAGTCGAAGTTCAAATGTTCAATCAACAATAGCATTTATGTTGTCACTCGCATCATGGATCAAGTGAGGATGTGATGAAAAAGTTGTATTACGCATGAAGAGTTGTTTGGAGGTGACAATAAGGAATGTACAATCAGCATGTATATGAAAAATGGATACTTGCAAGCAAATGATGGAAGACCCTTCGAATGAAGAACAGTATACACATAGGTGGCAATCATCAATCGACAAACAAGTGTTATGTTTCTTTTATGAATAATGATGGTAAACAGTCTACAAATATGGAAATCTCCCTATGACCGACATCGACTGTCTCGCAAATATACACATCTGACTTTGCAAATAATGAAAGATACACAAGAGACCCATGCTGCAGTTAACATGTCTGTTGCAGCCAAAAGAATTTAACATGCATCAAAAGTGACAATGCGATATACTCAGATGCATCTAAATGAATGTCAACACATAATGCATGACGCCCACTAGGGTTAAGAATAATGCAAAGCTTGGTTGCTTGAACTCACAATTACAAATAGAAATACACAATCGTCTCAAGGGATGCAACAATCATTTTAGGAATGAATATATCGTTTGCTTCTTCTATACGATTCAATGCACTTTCAATCGCTACGATGACTGCTCGAGGCAGTAACTGTTGATTTGAACATATAGGACATCAGCTAGGGAAAAATCATCCAAGGTCGAGATAATTGATTCTTTATTTAAGCCAACAGTAGAAAATGATGATGATGGTCTAACCTAGTAGTTGCATATCGATCTCTAAATAAGTATTGAGAAGAGAAAGCTAGATCAAATCATTATGAAGTGAATAAATCTCAGTTCAATCAGATTTTGAACATTGAGGTTGATAAGAGTATTGAAGCTTTCAAGTTTCTTGAGCAATAGTGATCGTACATCCAACATACCTTCTACATGTAAGTATTAAAGTACTACAACAAACACAAACTTCTAGAAGTCATCCTAGAAGACTTGTCAAATGGCCAAAATGCCCCTCCCGCAGATGCACTATAATATGTATACACATAGGTACACAAAAGGGCTAAGGGCAATCACAAAACCCGCATGGGCCCCGACGAACGTGTCTTGGGTTTACACGTGATGACTAGGGGTGCTGCGTGGGTCAATAAATTAACGTAGTTTTAGCTCGATCCTTCTATATGGATACATAGGAGTCAACAAGACTAGAATTATCAAGTAGATATATGATCAAGGCGTCAACCAGAATATCTGTTTTATACGTTTATGTAAGGCCTTCAAGGTCTATAACAAAGGAAATTTATTAATAAAATATAAAACCTACAACAAACCCAATCCTCTATCGGCAAGTTGACAGAGTCGATAAGATTCAGTAAATGTAATTCAAATGACCCCATACTCCTCGATGATGGCCGTGTTGAATGCATATCTCAACCAGAGGGGTTAATTCCAATATATTAAAATACCATCCCAATTACCTGATTTTCAAAAATTTCAAAATCCAAATATTTAAAATCAAAATAAACCACTTGATGCTTAAAGCAAAATCTATCCACCATCCGCAATGAATTATTGGCTCGGGATGACAGAACCATGGGATTTTGATCGGGTTCATCCATTCCCCCACCATCCGCTTTAAGTGCAAGATGGTGAAATTTCTGTTTTAAATATCAATTTTCCAAATTCTCAAATTCTCCATGCATTCCAAATATTTATGTTGTTACCATATGTCAGATATTACGTATCTCTACATATCTGATTGTCGACTAGCCTTAATCGAAGGTTCTCTCTCGTTTTCGGGAGGGGTAAATTAACTATAGAGGCTTGCGCTTATAGGAAAGCAGAACTCTGATAAAAAATTCCTCGCAAAATGAGGGCGAAATCTCTGGGTAGTGTCTTATTTACAAACCCATCCGCCTTTCCTAATTTTACTCCGAAACTTAATTCCGTTAAAACTCCCTCCGAAGAAAGTAGCGGGTGGAGGCCAGGGCCAAATTTTCAGAGCCCACAGATTTCTGGCAACTCCACTAGGGATTGATTTCTCTTTCTATTTTTGGTTAGTCGTCTCAATACTATAGTAGCAGCTAATCAATATAGGCTTAAGAAATTATAATTTCTGAAAATGATTATTCATCAAGTTAAATATTTTTTTAATACTCTATAAATAATCGTTCGACGCATTCATTAAGATAGCACATTTAGTAGGATTTTTAAATTTGTATTATTTTAATTGCTTTATAATGTTTATCGTTTTTATTTCTTGTTTTTTGCAAGTCTCTTCATTTTAAAAGTGTGAGGTGATGTTTTTGATACTGATTACTAAATCTTGCCTTTTATTTATGCAGATGGATCAACATAACGCATCAGTTACTGTCCAACTGTGATGTGGAGCTAGTATTTAACTGGCAAATGCTGTGATCAACACTGGAAGCTATTGAGCTTCCATCGAATTTGGTGGCCTCCACTTTCTATCATTCGTTGCAAGGAATGCCGCTGTTCCTGTGAATGACATGGAATATGCAGGGCTTGCCAGGAGGCCCCACTCTACTGAAGCTGCCATGCGTCGTGTGTATCTGCCAGCGCTTACTACTGAGGAGACTTGTAGGAGTATTTCTGTATTTGAATGGTTGTCACAGCCCGAAGCCCCGACTACCATAAGGGTTGTAGCTGGAAGAAGGATTGTCGTGGTGACTACAAACACCACATCTCTACTGGTCGGGTTACCTGCACCCGTGAAGAATACTGCTAAAGTTTCCTCATATGGAGGAAAGTTAACAAGAAGCAGAGAAGGAAGATAAATGCTGAGCTTCGAGATAAACAACAACTAGTGCCAGTGCACCCATCAAACATGCTTGCCCAAGAGCCTGAAGCTAATGTTCCGACTTGGAATAAGTTTATTGACCTGAGATGGGTCAAGAGGAATAACTATACTAGGGAGCTGAAGAAATTCTTTCGGGACCGACAACCTGAAGTCCCAGCCCCTCCAAGGAAGAAAGAGCCTGAAACCTTGTCAGCCCGGGTGTATAGGATAGTGAAGAGAGTAAAGGATAGGGACTGAAGAAGAAGAAATTCTAGCGGCCATTAACAATTAAAGCCAAAAGGCCCCACCACGGGAATCATTGCCTGTAGAAGATCGAAGAAAATCCAGGCCAGCCTTATGCGGATAGCATTGGGGCATGACGCTTAAACCTTGGGTTCAGGGATTCGTCGTCGAAAGGTCACGACGAAAAGGTAAGCAAGTTTGTAGGCCAAGGCCTCGTAGAGAAGAGAAGAACAAAAGAAGATTTGACCTGGGCGTGACATCCGGTATGGATTCCTGGAGATCCTCCCCCCAATAACAAACAACGTTAGAAATGGGTCCCAAGGAAGGCCTACGACGATGCCCATTCCGGCGGTCGACACATTGGAGAATCCTCTGGGGGATCCTGTCGTTTACCAAATCCATTCAAAGAAATGACCAACTTCGATCGCAGCCAACTAGTCGAAGAAATCTTCCTTCCAAATCAAGAACCGGAGATCCAGTGGCGCCGCCGCTCAGAGATTCAAGCACTAGAAGAGGAAGAAAATATAGTAGAAGAACAATAAAATTTAGAAGAAGGAGAATATATGGAAGAAGAAGAGGAAAAAATGAACGCCTCCATAAACATTGAGGTCGTCTACATGGTGAGGCACACCAATACTAATGAAGAGGCTTACTATGATGATGATGAAGATGAGACGATCAACAACCACCGGTTAGGCAAGTATATCGATTTTGTTGTGAGGCTGGGCCCATCGACAAAGACGGCCTCTCTTCAGAAGAAGAAAGAGAAGAAGTCGAGGAGAATACATTTGCTGATGAAAACACCACTCGCCGACATGCGAAAGCAGATGAGGCGAGAAATGAGAGCCAGAGACAGAGAAATCTCTCAATTAAATGAGAAAATGACTGAGATGATGGCTCGGATAGGGGCGATGATGTAAATGATGCAGAGGACTGCCACTATTGGTGCCGTGTTTAATCCTCATGCCGATTCTTCAAAGTTCTCAATTCCTCAAGTCTTAGGAGTACAGGGCACTCTTGAAGGCGATAATGAAGTCAATAACATTATCCGCCAACGCACTCTGCAGAACATTGCAAGTACCTCTGAGTCTGTGACGGCTGCACAACTCGAGGGAATCATCATCAAGAAAATCAAGGCTATTATAGCTATTGATCAGGTGAAGAAACTAGTGGGCAAGGGTCGTCCGTATCCTGCCGAATATGATCAAGTGCCGTACCGAAAGGGGTATTCGGTCCCAAAGTTTCATACCTTCAACAGTACTAACAACCTTATGGAGCACTTGACACAATTTAAGGCACCTGTGGGAGTACAGGGGAAAATGATGCACTACTTTTCCAAAAATTCGTCAGCAGTTTGACAACAACTTCTTTCGAAAGGTACGCTGAATTGCCAAATGACTCTGTGAAAAGATATGCAGTATTGGAAGCTATGTTTGTGAAGAGATTCGCCAGTACGACCGAGAAGATTATAGTCGCCGACCTTGCTTTATATAAACAGAAGAAAGAGTCATTATCGAAATATATAACTCGTTGGTGCAACTTGAGCATGAAATGTGCGCAACAGCTCAAAAAAGAACATGCTGTGCTGTTGTTAATGGGCAACAGTGATGGAAAGATGCAACCCTTCCTATGCATGACTACAATTACCACATTTCAATATCTGTTGGATATGGTGGCTAAGTTTGAGAAGTTAAACTTGTCAAGATCAGAGAGCCACTATGATAAAGCCAAAGAAGGCTAAAGTCTCAGGTGCTAGAAGAGGTGAGGCCATGTCTATAATTTTCTCTAGAGCTGATAAAGCAAACAAGTGGTTTATAGCGTAGACAAATGCAAGCAACCGATATAATATGAAGAAAAGCCTAAACAAGTCTACAACCCTAACCCCCAACCGAAGCTGATACTTGTGGGGAACGATAGACCACGAACCTTCCAAGGTGGAGGGGAACGCGAGAGGTTGGCAATCGAAACTAGTGATAGAGCTTTCCCATCCCTCAAGAAAAGATAAATAAAGATTATTCATTTAAGAGGGAGAGTGTCGCCAAGTTATTTCGACAAGCATTAAAAGCGGGCTTGGAACTGTGGAGTGCAAGAGGCCCGAGGAGTCAAAACACACTAGTGACCCAAATTATTGCCCCTACCATCGGGTAATCAGCCATCCTATTGAAGATTGTTACATCTTCAATGATTGACTCGAAAGAAATACTGGAAAGGGGAACTCACACTGTCAGATAATGTGTTAATTAATCCTAGAAAAGATTCAACTCGGGTAGTTATGACTTCCTCCCTTCCCCTAGTTGAAGAAAGAATAATTAAAAAGGAGCTGATTCAAGAAGAACAGTGAGTGATTGCGGTCTCCAAGAAGACTGTAAAAATTTTGAAACAGCTCGAAGGAGTTTCAGGGGTGAAGTGGAAATTTCCTACGTAGCCAGTGCTAAATTTGAAAGATCTGCCTATGATAGGAGCATCTACTTCTAAGGAACTCCCTAATCAAACTGGTTCTTCAAAGGTTGGAAAGATAAAGTCTTCTAAGAAGAAAACCAAGATAAAAAACTAAGCAGAAAACGATAGCAACCCAAAGGGTTATCGACAGTTTGGATGAATACTACTAGATTGTGAGGCGACCTATCAAACTCATTGACTTCATGTTTGAGCTTAAAATAGATGAAGTCGAATAAAATGATGAGAATTCTTTTCCCGTAAAAGTATGTCGTGTCATCTCAGTGGCACCAAATACTCTGTCAAAAGAATGAAATGAGGAGGCAACCCGTGAATCCTGTATGATGGTATCACTAATTGATTACATTTCGGAGCAAAATTTGTATTTTCCAAAAATAGATGAGTCGGACCCCGACATAGCATCATGGGACATTTAAACCTTAGTGGTGACTCTATGTCAACATATGAATCTCTAGACACAACAATGATTGACTCCGAAGAAAATGCATCATTAAATGAGTTTAAGCCAGAGGAAGTCACTCAAGTGCAGCTAAGAAGTACCGAAGAAAGGCATCTCCAATAAAGATGAGAGAAGAATATAGTTGTTAATGAAGATATCATCCTGAAGAACTCGAAGAAGAAAGATACTTCAGTCAAAGGGATAAATTATAATAGTTTATCCCATCTAAGAAAAATCCTGACGCAACTTAGCATATAAGATGTTCTATAATGTCTAAAGACTTTCGGTAGACTTTAATTCACGCCCTCAAAGCCCCGAAAGGTTTGAGGCATATTTTGTTGAGTGCAATGTGACTGAAGTCGTACATGCTCGTAATGAGCCATTTATCACCTTCACTGAAGTAGATATGATGCTCGGAATGGCAGATCATAATCACCCACTATATGTTAAAGCAAAAAGCAATGGAATGATTATCAATCAAATCTTAGGCTTCGTTTGGGACGGCTTTTTTACTGCTTTTTAAAAAGGAGTTTTAGTACAAAAATAAAAAAATTTGTACTAAAACTCCGTTTTAGAAAGTAATAAAAAAGCCGTCCCAAACGAAGCCTTAATCGATCCAAGGTCCTCTTTAAATCTAATGAGCTTGAAAGCTCTAAGATCGTTGTGCCTCGACGTGGAGCATCTTGGGTCAGATAAGCTGATGGTACATGACTTTAATTAGAAGGGACAGAAGACCCTAAGTTCGTTTACGCTCTCTCTCGTATTTGGAGAAGTTCATATAGACAACAAATTTCATGTGATTGATGCCGATATTGCATTTAAGTAGCTTCTTGGTCGCCCTTGGTTGTATGAGTACGGCATCGTCCCGTCAACACTACATCAGTGCATGAAGTACCTCAGGGATGGAGAAGAATTCAAGATATCTGGTGACTTTCAGCCCTTTGTAGTACATGAAGTAATGATTTATGAAGATGCCAAATACTTCATTTCAAAGAAGCTGAAGCCGTCGAGCTTTCTTGAGGCCCAGGCATCTGATCCAGAGATTGCAAAGCACTTAAATAAGAAAGCAAGAAGAAGTAGGTGGGGAGAAAGAAGGCAATGCCAACTCTTGCCAAACCACCTACCATTTCGAAAGAAGAAAGTATGTGCCTCATCCAGGTAGTGATACAGATGAAAGTGATGCCACCCCTACCAAATCTCGGAGGGTATGCCAGTCAACTTCCAAATGGAGTAGTGAGGTTTAATATTTAAATGATGATTATAACTACGACTCTATCTACATGAATACGGTGCAGGGTGTGTTCTCCAGAAGAATAAACAGCATTTCGATCTCAAATAACGTACTTGTAGTCACGCGTATTTCCTTGTAACACTCTAAAGAAATTATTTTGTGAGAGGTGCATAATGTCGAAGAGCTCGTAACATTTCATGTACCTCCCCCAAGAGAAAGAGATGGGTCAATAAGTCTATTTTATTCAATTGAAAAACTCAAAGAAGAAATAAATCGTGACTGGTTTCGTGCACTCGTTGATTCCGGGGAATTAGTACATATGCCAGGTAACATGTATTTATACGTATCTGATTAACAACTAGCCTTAATCGAAAGTTCTCTCTTGTTATTGGGAGGGTAATTAACTATAGGGGCTTGCGCCTATAGTAAATCAGAACTTAGATCATAAAGTCCTCGCAAAATGAGGGCGAAATCTTTGGGTAGTTTCTTATTTACAAACTCATCTGCCTTCCAAAATTTACCCCAGAACTTAATTCCGTTAATACTCCCTCGCCGAAGAAAAAGCTACAGTGGGCGAAGGCTGGTGCCGAATTTTTGGAGCCCACACTTATATAGGAACATGCAACAGATTAAGATACTAAAACAATCCGTAATAAAATGCCTGATGTTATTGAGCGCCAAATGGAAGTCGAAGAATACACGGGAGAGTTACCGGAGGAGACCTTGGCGATTGGAAGGAAACCAAGTTTTCCTGAGAGATCTCCGCTTGCCAACAGATGCGAACCCGTCTGAACGCCAATAAAGCCCATTACTTGGTGCCTCTCTCTTTGAACTCTGCCTATGTCAGTGTCACTATTCAGGCCTAGATGGTCAGATAAGAAGTCACTGTGAATACGAACCAACTTGTAGAATCTTAGGAAAACGGGCTTCGTTCGAACGCAAGGAGCCGTCAGCTGTATGTTTTAAGAAGCACGTGAGACGAAGAGTTTATGGAATGCTAGTAGGATTTAAAGAGCCTTATTATTAATTATTATAATTATAATAGTTAAAATGAAAGGTTGAGATTTGATTTGAATAATTAAAATTAATTAGAATGGATGGTCAGGATTTGGTGTGGAAAGAAACTCAAGCCCCTTTTATAATATTAGTATAGATTTGGTGACTTGTTCAACCTTGCCACTTTAGTGAGTAGCAAGTGCTTTATATATTTATTTAAAAAAAATATTTTGCTATACAACTCTTCTAGAATCATACCCTTGCAATTCCACACTCATTTCCTAGCATTCTCTTCAAAGTATCCCATCCTAACTTATATTTATAGCTGTTGGCTAAACCTAAACTGAATTTGACCTAGTTTTATTTTTGTCCCCATTTGACCCATGAAAGCTCATTAGAATTTCATGAAAATTTCTTAAATCGTTCTTAAGCAAACTCTTCCATCTCAAAGAATTTTCATGTCTTAGAGTGCCCACCATTTGAAGACCTAAATGCCTAAAGTTCACTTGTCATAATTTGATTAGATTTCTAGCACTCTTGCATATTACCTTCTCTTTGCATGAAACTCGAACACCACTTAATTTCAACCCCTCCCAAGGCTTGCACATCATTCATAACACATTTTAGGAGACTTCTAGACCAAATCAACAACCTATTAGGGATTAAGCCCGTGGTGGCCACACCAAATTAATGATTAAATTGAACACACTTTTAGCCTTATGATTAAAATGATCCCATGCAAATAGTCATAGAATCATATTTACCTTTTTCACAATTATTCACATATAGCCTTACCAATTTTCAACTTAATTATTTGTTTAATATGCAAAAAGTGAGCATATTTTGTCGGTCCATCAATTATTATTAAAATACAATTATGATATTGCCTAAATTTGCTCTAAAATGATGTTATTGAATTTTGTGAAATCAGTAGGATTTTATAGAGTTTTTCAAGAGGCTTACAAAGATTTCTTTGTTTCTTATTAGATCAAATGCAATAACTTTTCTTCATAATTATAGGATAATTATGAAAAAGAGATCTATAATCACATTAATTGCCAAAACTCATTATAGATTAATTCCTGCTAATTTTCGTTAAAGTAGAGACTGTAAATTATAACTTTTGGTGTATTTCATTAAGGATTTCATCCTAGGTTGCATTAGTAAATTCTAAACTCTCAAGCACCACAACTATATATGTGGATTGCATGGTAATTTGAAATTCAGCACTCCATCAGTTATTAGGTTATCATCTGTTATAACTTCTTGAAGCTGTTATAAATCATGTAATATAATGTATATTGATTCTCACCAAAGAGTTCTAAATAAATTCTATTTCTCTGAATATTGAGTTGTAGACAAGCAATTAAAACAAAGTGATTAGGCAGCTTCAAATGAACTTGGTAATGTTGAAGTGTTTTGAATAGTTCGTTCCGGTCTATTGAGATTGCTTGATATGTATGGTAGGGCTTTTATTTGTTAGTTGCATGACATTTTCTTAGTGTTTTTGTCACGATCAGGCCCGGTTAGCTCGTATAGGCAAGGCGGGAACGGAATCGGACGTTTAAAACATAAACCTTTCTTCTTTACGTATGCATTTAATTAATTGTTTCTAAATAATCCACAAAAAACTAAAAGCGCCTCTAAAATTTTCCAAATATATATAAAAACAAACATTTCATATAATTTCATGTCATTCAAAATTTACATAGGTGGTTTTAAAATTTCTAAAACATGCTAAACCACCAAAAAAAGTGTATACTATAACTAAAAAAACATCAAAAAAACCTCTCAGCTAGTATTCGACGACTGTAGGTGAACCTTTGGTTGTCAGACATTTCTTGCAGCAGGTTCTTCTGAAAAGTATCCCAACACGAGGGAGTGAGCTAATGCTCAATAGGAAAACTCTAATCCTAACATTTTTACATGCATTCTAAGATGAAAACTTACTCACATACTAGTGAAATGCCTTGCTTGTTTTGCTACACATGCTAATTTTTCATGTCTTATGAATATTTGATGCTTTATGAATGTCATATGTCATATGTATGCCATGTGTCTTATGAATGTCGTAGCGTATATCTATCATAGTTATATGCATTCTCATATTTTATATAATCGTACCAGGAGTGTACTGATCAGGTACACAAACATCTTTTTTGCTATTCATTTCTTTTCCTCTTTTGCTCCAAAGGGCCATATTGTTACGTATTGCTCATAAGAGCCATATTTGTGCTTTCGCACCATATTTGATATCTCGCCTTCAACATTCACAATCAATTACATAATCGTTCCATATAGACATATGTATGTAATGTAGCCTTTTTATAACAACCATTTATTTTGAACATGAAGTTCATGAAAGGAACTTCTATGAATGCTTAGTGTTAAATATAAATAATGTATTTGTTATGTATCACATCAACTAAGGATTTCACTTGCCATGTATCAATTAAGTAAAGATATGCAATTCTCATAAATCAATTAAGTAAAGATATAAAACATAAAAGAATAATAAAAACATAAAGGAATATGATCATGTAGGATAAGAGATTCCTACCTCAAATGCACTTTGAAAGCTTCCACTTCACCAACCTATACTTCCTTCTTCTTTTTCAAACCTAAGGGAAATATCACAACATAAGCCTTTTAGGTAAAATTCAAACCACTATGACACACATCCTACACATGCCATATCTAAAAAAAAAAAACTCCCCTTAAGCTTATTATATTCTTCCTACCCATATCCTCAAGGTAAAAGAGATACAACAATAACAACAACATAAAAATTGCATTTATACATCATCACCTACATAATTTATGATTTTAATTAAATTATTTTTGGATTTATTTATAAAAAAATTAGGAAAATTATTTTTTTCTCAAAAAGTTCAATTTCTCCTAATTAGAGAGCTCACATAAATCTTAGGAATAACTTTTGTTCACAACCTAGTTCAAAAACCCTAGTTTTGAAAAAGTCCTAATTTTTAAAATCTAAAATTCTTAAAGAACAATTGCATTTTTCTTCAAACAATTTCTTTCCCTAATATCTCCCAGCATTCCTTACAAAAATAATACAAGTTGGAGAAACCCTAAATTTTGAAAACATGAAAATATTGAGTAAATTCCTTTTTTTATGACTTAGTAGCATGCTCCTAAACAAGTCCTATCACTTTTCTAAAAAACAAACTCCAACAAAAAGCCAAACCCTAACACTTTGGTTCATGAAAATCTCAAAAA